ATTTTGAAAGATCAAGGAAGGGCAGATTCGGGCCTTTAAGTTTGAGCCGGGGTGGCTTAAGCGCAGACGGAGGCGCACGCACAGTTCCCGAGCGGAGCGCGCGTGGCTCAGAGGCGGAAGACGGACCCGCGTCGTTTCGAGACGAAGGCCGGCTTGCTGCGACAGAGCCTGCAGCCGAAGGAGGTCGAGATGAACCAGGTCTCAATGGCATTCGCCAATTTGAATCAAGGAAGAAGTACTCCTGCAGGAAGGATTTGAGTTCAATAAAAATTGGGCAAAGATAGAAAGGGCACGTACTTCTTCGGGAAAACGAGCGTCTGGGCAACAGCCCTTCGCATCCGCGCGACCCTGGTCGTCCAACACCTCGAGATAGAATTTGCGGACCGGGTAGAGGTAGTTGACTTCATTTAGATCGTGAGGGAACTTTGCTCGTTCTCGGAGATGCTCGCGCTGCAAAGCGTATCAGTAAAGATTGAATAAGACAGGGCGGGAGGATCACTCACAATATACGGAAGGGTCCTTTGGAATTTTAAAAGCAAGTCGGAGATGCCGTTGGGATCCTTCGAGCGAAGGGTGGCGGAAAAGGACCTTGAAGTCCGCATGCTCTCAAGGAAATCGATGACATCGGGGTTCCGAAGGTTGCGAAACAGATCAGGCGGGTCCTCAACGGCCTTGGCCTTGCCCTTGGATTTGCGTGGGGGCATGGTTAAAGATCGCGAGGATTGGAAACCTAAATACAAGACAGAACAACTATTAGTTGAAACGAACGTTTCCCAGATCAACTGAGAAACTCACGAAAGCGAAAGTAGTTAGCACTACAAACAAGACAGAAAGCAAGCGGCCGAGTGGCAAGGACCTTGAGTGCTTGGGTGCACTCGCCACTCGACGCTAAGACCAAGAATCCGGGCGCTGAGTTCAGACGGCGCGGACGAGTTGAAATCCGAAGTGTAGGGACAAGAAGAGAAGCAAAGAGTTGTGTTGAAGTCGAAAGGGACCGTTCGAGCGGCGCTCGACACCACCCAACGGCCAGGGGATGGACTCTGCGCTGGTGGTGGCAGGAAGAAAACGACTTAGAAGAATTTGATGGACCGCAGTGCCTGGGATGACTTAGCCGTTATCCTGGGAACTCAATATAAAATTGAGGGCTGGTTTTGAGACGCACCTGGGAACGAAACCGCTGCAAAGTGGGTATCGTCAGGGAGCTCTTGAAGAGGAGAATGCGATTGTCCTGACGGGCAATGCGCACGGACCAATTCTCGGATGAGAATCCTAGTCGGTGATGGATCGGTGATGGGTCTATTTCGGGAATACCCCGCTGATCAGGGCGCTAGACGCCGTAGGCGCTTGTCAAAAATAGCTCCGGGAACCATTTGGTTCCGCAATAGCCGAGTGATGGGCGGACTTAGTGAAAAATGGCTGGCTATTCTTAACCGATTAGCCGGTTATGGTCCAACTCAGTCTAGAAATATTCTTGAGGGGTTCCTGACCTAAGATCTGACTAAATAGAAATGTTCTGAGGGAAAACCTGCATTGTGTTCGCACAAAATGTTGACTGGGGACAGTCAATAGTAAAGAAAAGGGGAGATGATAAGCCGTGTAAATCTGCACGCATGGAATTTTGCAATTTTGCTTTGTTTCATTGGCATCCACGCACTCTCAGAGAAGCTATCATGAGCTCCGAATGAGTAGCTTCTAGTTGCATAGCATGGGTCAAGTCCAGGACTCATTATGGCGGTACCTCCACACTTGGGGCTAATATAATGCTTATCGGGATAAGACTTAAAATCATAACAGTACCCGAAATCTCATACGGATGAGCTGTTTGCTAGACTAGGATCAAGGAGATATAAAATACGCATGCAGGCGTACCGAGGATGGTCTAAATCCACCACTTTGACTTTTGTGGGCCTAAGTGCCAACTGGAGACGCGACGCGACAGATCATGTGACCGTGCTGGTCTAGAACAGGCAATGACGGACTTGTCGGATATTCCGGATCCGAGACTCCATAAGGCAATTATGCCGAGTCACTCTTCCGCGTGGGACCCGATCACTCGGATAACCTCGTGACATATCAGAAATATCAACCTTAGTTTGGTATGCCCTCTTTAGGTTCATTCGAAAGCCAGCAACAACACGATTCGAATAAGTGGCTTATCCCGATAAGGGTACTTGACCGTGTACCAGGCGAAGAAGATTCGAGCTCGTTCAGAGATCAAGACTCCGAGCATCTCCACATGCGAGATTGATATTTGTGGAAGGAAATGAGTCAATGGCCCATGCCTCAGCCAATAGGACGCTTGATACAGATCTGCTTATTCATTGCTTAGTTTTGGTAGACCAATTGCGTTCATGTAAGCAGTATTGTAGGTGTATATAAGGACCAGAGTAGAGTAGTTTTAAGCTAGTTAGCTGCGCCCTGATCCGGCCAGTATCTCATTTTGCCATTGGTTGTAGGGGAGGCAGCTTTAAAGTTAGGAAGTGCTTGTCCCTCACCCTCTTGTGGAATAAACTTGATTGGATTGACTTGACTGTGTGAATTGGATTTTCGGTTAATAAGACGAAGTAACAGTAGTCTCGAGAGCACCTCAAACTCTCAGTTACGGGATTCATAAGACGAATTAACAGTAGTCTTCAGAGGCACCTCAAACCTCGACCTATAAACCTATAAAACCCACTTTTGCCGGTCACTAGATCGTTATATTATACAAACCCGTCCCTTACCGCAATAACATTGTGTTTACTCGGCCTACAAGCCAAGTTTTCGATTAAACTCGTTATCGGGATAAGACCAAAAAGACCGAATCAGACATTTTGAGGGATCTATTCTCTGTTCTGGGATCTAATACTTGATCCGCACCCCCGAACACCCCGGTTCTCTCACATTAAGAGGAGTAGTTGTTGGTTGGTTAGTGGTTTAGTTGGTGTTTTGTGTGTTGGTTTTCCAGCAGCTTGCATTAGCTTTTCTATTAGATCATTCACGCGTACCCGAGAGTCACCGTTTCACCGCCTCCCGGCCCACTCTGGTACTTCACAACACAATCCCAAGACATCCAAGAATATGCGAGTACATTATCAATTGGTTCCCATGTATGACTGACCCACCCGCAGGATGTTTTCGGACCTGTTCATCGGCCCCAGCGTCAAGTCGATGCACGCCTTGCTGCACAGGTCAAGCAGCTCAGAACACGAGCATGGATACGGCGGGTTCGCAGGGACGCTGCCCGGGGGGTTCTGATAGCAATCTAATAATATTTACAATGTACATGTACCTGTGAAATTTCAGTGCGGGGCCGCTTTTGCGGCCCTCCATTCTGCTCTATTGTGCCATTTGAGTCTCCCGTCCCCTCCCTCGTGGCTTTCGCCGCCAAGTTCTTCTCCCGAGTTGCAGCCGCCTTCTCTTGTGTCGCTGCTCGCTTTGCCTTCTGTGTGACGGCTAGAGCTACAGCCAGCTCGTCGTGTCTCCTTCTGCGGTCCGCAAACAGTGGGCGGGGTTTCGTGAGAGCGACAGGCAGGGCCTTCCGGAGAAGGTTTGCATTGTGAAATGCGTGAGTGTTAACAATAAATCGAGTGTCGTCTTTGTGTACAATGGAGTGAATTATCCGCTCCGATTCTTGGCGCTCCTGTAACTGTCGTGTAACCCCACTGGCGTCACACCCAGATGCACGGCAGTCGTGCTGGACATTAATCAAAAATTGGATGGACTTGAAATCCGTCAGCATTGCGGCATGAGCCAGAGTGTTGAAACTGACATTTGACAGGCGTATATGGGGATTCAATATATCAATGGATTGCTGATGGTATTGGTACCATGATGTATTAACGCCTCTCCTTAGCGGAGTGCACCGATATATCAGCTCAGCGTTCTCCGGCTTTATCTACCCGCCGCCGCGCGCGCGCTGCCGCCCCGTCACCTGGTCCGTGCGCAAGGCGCGCCGCCCATCCAAATGGGGTCGCATGTTTACGCTTGTTATGATCACAGTTCCTCCCTCCACCCACCAGCGCACTGGCTACCCCGGCTTCCCTGCTCCTTCCCTCCGCTCATCCTCACATCGGTGGGTGAATATACTTCTCAAACATATTACAGCATACTTACCTAGGCCTAGATCGTCCGAATCATCCCGTCATTTCGTTCGGCGCCACCCACCCCTGCGCACCTGTATTGGGCATAAAAGCTGGCTCCCTGCTACTTGCGCAGTGTAGCCTGGGGTAACTTTGGCGAAGCATAAAACCTTTCGCTTCCACCTTACGCGCCTCCGTTCTGCCTTCCCGTTGGCCCGTGGTGTGCCCTTTACTGCACCCACCGTATCTTCCCCTTTTTGGCCCCCTGCGCCGCTCCCTCGGCTGCGGTCTGCGTTATAGCAGTAGCACTACATTCCCTCTTTTACTCCCTCCACATTTGGTTGGCCCGCGGTCCCCAAATCCCCCCCGCAGCCCGTCCCGCCATTCTGCCGCCGGCACCGCCCTCGGCGGGGCTACCGCCTCCGTACACCTCTGCCGGTTGACCACCGCCTACCTCGGCCGTGCTAAATCATATTTCGCTTGTCGTTGCTCCCGCCAATGCGCTTCCCGCCGCCACAGCGCCGCTGCACTGGCGCGTTTGATCCGCCCGCTCCCGCCACTTCCCCTCCCACCGTGAAAACTTTACTCCGCCTCTGTAACGAGCTTTACCCCCGCCCCCCCACCCCGCCGCGCTCCTGGCGCGCCTGCTCGGCATCATACACAGTGCCGACGATCTCTTGGCATTCCCGACAACGTCTTGGCCCACCCGCTTCTACACTTTTTACCTACCCCCTTCGTACGTGAATCACATACAAACATAGTTTTTTCTTCGCTTTTTTTGCCTGCTGCAGTTCTCGAAGTAACTTCACCAAGCGGAACGCTCAAAGCTATTAGTCATACACATTAGTCATATACAAATAAATTCATTTTTCTTCGACGCGTTGGTGGGTCCAGACATAAATTCGCTCATAAAGGTTTCCAGGCCAGCTTTGAGATCAGGGACTAGTAGCTCACGGAAGAGCGCTACCAATCTTTCAAAGTCGTTCAAGAAAGTATGTTGGAGAAGCGAGTTCAATTCTCGCTTAGTCCTTTTTTTTCTTGGCTGGCAGTTTTTTTTTCAGCCAAAAGACAGCCCCGCAGCCATGAGAAAATACTTTCTCAAGTACCGTTTCCGAAGAATGGTAAAAAGTTTCATACTTGAAAGGAACACCTGTTTCGGGATTCGAACCCGGGACTTCCCAGTAGGAACAGGTAAAGACCGTACATACGGTTGCACCATACAGACACATAAGGCCTCGCATTTGGATCAACCATACCCTTCACCCTAGGACAGCGCTTGCCAAAAAAAATTCAATTTGTTCCAAGTCCGAAACTGCTAGCACGTGTATTTCCGACATAGTAGTACGACGAATACAAGTTGAAGGCGCCGTTGAAGGTAAAGATGAATAAAGGTACGTAAAAGACAAAATAAGATTGCTCGTTGGTTGAGCAACGAGTAAGAACCCCGCTGGTTGAGCAGCGAGTAGGAAACACACGCCGTTGAGGGCGTGTGTGCCAACTACGGGCCGTTGAAGACACCACCTACTTCGTTAGAAGCGCCTACGCCCTCGTTCGTCTGTGTACGGCATCTCAGACTCGAGGACAAGAGAAAAGATGCATGAGACGTACTGCTTTTTCTTCGGCCCATCGTTCTCCGATGCCGCTGCTTTCCTCTTCCCGACTCCCGCAGTGCGCGCGAGCAACGCAGCCTCTGTCGCGGCGTGAGGGTTCTTGACGCGACTGCCCTTCACCTGTCGCGTCATCTTCGAGCCATCTGCCATCGTCGGCGCGCGCCGCGCACGCCGCAACGTCACTGTGTCGGTGGGTCCGTCGACGTTCGGCGTACTGAACCAACCCCTCTGCGCCTGAGCCTCAACCTCCGCCGCCTTCTCCGCCGCCTTCGCCGCCGCCTTCGCCGCCGCCGTTGCGGCACGACGTCCCTGCGCCACCTTCTCGAACGCCGCGTTGTTGTTGGTGATGGAGTACACCAGTGTTGGCGTTTCAGCGATCTTCGGAGCCGCTACATTCGTCGCCTCTGCCAGTGCAGGGGCAATCTTCCTCGGCCTTCCCCTGCTACGATTTGGTGGCTCCGCCGCGTCCTCCACATCCTCTTCTGCTGCCTCCGCTGCGTCTCTCGCCACACTGGCCGCCTTCGCCTTCGCCGCCCTCACCGCACCCGCTGTAACCCTGCCCGGCACTGGCGCCTTCTTCTTCGAAGCCGCGCTCTTTGCCACAGCAGGTGCCGACGCTGGCGGGGGTGCTTTTGTCGGTGGCCGCGACGTAGGGAATACCGTCGGCGCACGAGCCGTCGGCGGCGAAGATGCCACTGCCGCCGGGTCACTGATGGAGATAGGGGTTGTGACGACACTGGGCATGGCGGCGGTCGATGCGTTGGAGGGCGGCCTGCCGCTCGCGACACGAGTAGCAGCAGGTAACGACGGGGGTGGATGTCGCAGCGACGTTGGCAGGCGTGGCGTTGATGACCGGTGCTGTCGGAGTTGCGATTATCTGCAGCAGCGTCTGCGCAGCCACCGTGCGTCCTCCACGCATGCTTCCTCCTGGAGTTCTTCTCGTGAAACGCGGCGGCGTAGGAAGGGGTCCGCTCGGCTTGCCCACTCCAAAGCGGCTAGGTGTATTGGGCACGCTGGGAGCCGGTGCGGGCGGGCGAGTGAAAGCTTGAAAAAGGATGCTTGGTGCATACCTCCCCGATCTGGAGGCGCCATTCTCGACAGGGAAGTTGAAGCCTCCCACGCTTCTAGTTTGCGCTACGGCGGGAGCACCTTTCCACGCCGGGCGCGGCCCCAGGGATGCGGCGGGTAGGGGTGCGGTGGGTGTCGGACTCGGTGGAGCATCCAGCGCCTCATCATCGTGTCGTGTCGTGCTGTCTACGGCTGGGAGCCGTGGGAGGTCGAATGTGGTACCCCCTCCACTGGACGACGATGTATCATCATCGAACTTGAGAGCATTGTTGATGTCGTCGTAAGGGGATGCGTTGTACTGGAATGCGGTGGGGTCGTAACTAAATGGGTCGAAGGATTGGGTGTGGGTGAAAACGTCCGACTGCAGCTCCAAGTCAGAGCCGCTGCGAACGTCGAAACCGTCCGTGACAGTCGCCTGAGGTACGTCCAACGAGTGCAAGTCGAAATTAGATGCAGTCGCGGGGTGCGCATCGAAATCGGAGCTGCGCACCGCATCAAAGTCGCGCGCGCCGTCTAGATCCATTTCATAAGATTGTGTCGCAGACGAAGCTGGCAGATCAACGTTAGAGGAAGGTTGCGCATTCACAGCGCTGAGAGCCACAGGATCGGAGGGCACAGAAGGATCGACGGTCATCGCATTTGAAGCCTGGCTGTCGATAGCCGGCGACTTCTTTTTCGCCACACGTTTGGGTTTCTTCGTCCCGGCGGGCGCAACGGCGACATCCGGCTCGTGCAGGCGGGGCAGACGCTGCTCGCTCGGAGGCGGCGCTGAAACTGGCAAGGCGCACGCTGCACGCTGCTGCTGGCCTGTTACTCCGTTAGCACATCATACTCAAGCCCATTCAGCCGACAGACGTACTGAATACGGCGCGCAGCCACGACTCAAAAGTCTGCTCTATGTTCCTGTCGAAGTCTGGGCAGGCTTGCTCGAAGTCGTTTCCCGCAGGCGTTTGCCCAAAGCAGATGCTGGAGAAGTCGTGAGATCTTAGGTAATACGCGCCCACATTCCCAAAATGGACTTACACCTTGTAACTCAGTTCACCGCCCAATCTCGGGTTGGGTCCGCCAACGATCGAGAGGCCGACCCAGCCTGCGGCCGCATAGGTTCCTTTGTGAAGCTCGGTATAGGCGGAGTCCAGCACGTCGACAGCCCTTCCAAAAAAAGCCGTCAGATAACTCAGTCTCCGCCAAAATTGAAACCGCGCTTACTCTTGACGTTCCTGAGGCGTTTTCGCTTGAAGCCCGGCTTCCTGTACCTTCCCCGCATCCTCGTTGTCCTTTCGCATCTGCTCCTTCTCTTGCTCGATCTCAGCTGCTATCTCCTCGAGCTCTTGCTCAGACGCCGCGTCAAACAGTGCACGAACGACGCGCATGCGCAGTCGCATCCTGTCCGCCTTTGTCAGCTTAATCCGCTGCTGGGCAATTTCTGGAGACTCGTCCTCCCACCCCTCGACGTCCTCCGCCCTGGTCGCTGCCTCGTTCATCTTGTCATACCCCTCTTGGCACAACGCGACGCGAATAATCTCGCTGTTCCGCTTCTGGAAAAGCTCTATGGGTTGGTGCGCGCGCTGGCGTCTCGGGACGTGCAAATTGAACACCCTCTTCGTCGCTACAGCGGCGGCACTCGATGACCCTCCAGGTGCATTTCGCATTGCCGACTTTTTTGCTGTCGTTACGGAACCTGTTTTCTAATTGCTGTGAATACAGTCAGAATTTTTGCGCCACTAATATTGACTCTGGCATACCTTTTTTCTATCCGAAATGGCGTCGCCGAGCCTGGAGAGCTCGCCAGCGGTGAGAGGGCGGGAGCCCGGCACGTTAGGCTGCGGGAGGCAGAGCTCGCGCCATTCAGGCCAGTTGCGAAACCAGTCCTCTTGCATGGGCGCCCAGAACAAGTAGAGCTTTCCTTCTGCCTGCCGTCGAATGAACTCGGGCCTCTTTTCCTCGAACCATATTCGCTGTTCCTCAGTGGTCCAAGGTTTGGGAGCCATTCAAGAAAGCAATGGTCGTATGTGGTGCCGGGAAGGGAGCGTTGGTCGTGGTTTCGAGTCACAGAGAGTTTCAGATAATTTCCTCCGTACGTTTTCTCTTTTGCGCATCTAATTTAGGCAAATATTAACAACGCCAACCTGACCTATTCGGGCTATTTCTCCAGTCTTTCCTAAATCGTACACTAATATTCTACATCACCCAACAATCCGTACGCGATCAATGCAAAAAAACATCCAATTCCGTCCCCAATCAGGCAATGCGATTCTCCAATTCCAAGCCTTCGCTTCAAGATGGCGCCCGCATGATCCTTCCTCCATCCCATCACCTGAATCCAAGTCCATGCGGTCTCCGAGATAGTGGCTCTCGCTCAATCCGGCCCAGCCTTGAGGCACACCCTTTATCAGCTCGCAATCGTTGCTCCTTCTTTGTGACCGCCCCACTTTCCACAATGATCATCCCCTCCACCGCTGCAACCACAGCCCCCACCCCCGCCGAGGAGTTGGCGGCCGTGCTTGCACAGGTCGCCGTCATGACCAAGCTCTCGGTCGACATCACCAAAATGTCCATCGATCTCCACCGTACTGTCTTAAGGATGCTTCCTTATCTATAGTCCTGACACCCCACAGAGAGAATCCCAGTTCTTGTCGCGCGCAGCGCTGCTGCTGCTGCTGCTGCTGCGCCCCCCCCTGCGCCTGCAGGTCAGTCTCCTTACTGACCTCTTTCCTCTTCTTACATTATCTTCCACAGTTGCCGCCCCACTGTTCATCGAGGGTGTCGCTCGCACTCCTGCGCAGCTCGAGGCCGCCTTCCCTCCTGGCCATGGCGACAAACTCCCGTGGTATGTCGTCTGCATCGGCCGCGAGCCTGGTCTTTACGCGACGTCGTAAGTTTCCTTGTTTTTCTTTCATCTTCCCTCCTCTCATTTCGGATACCCACAGTGACGAGAGCGAGCGTCAAGTTAATGGCATCCCTCGCCAGTTCCGCATCCGCAAGGGCAGCCGCGTCGAAGCCCTCAACTTCTATCGGGAGCGCTACGAGGAGCAGGCGGTCTCCAAGATCAATGAGGCCCCGCCTGCTCCTGCCACTGCTGCGGCGCCCGGCGGTCCTGGAGCTCCTGGTGCCTCGGCCTCGAACACGCGCTGCGCCTGATGCGGTACGATTTTCTATCTTTTTCTATTTGCCAACTACTTACATTATCTGATTGTTAGTTATCATGTCAAGATCGCCCTCTTGTGTCGTGTACTTACTGCCTATTGTACTGCTCGTGCTCGCTGTCGTGTACATGTCTGCCAATAAACAAGCTTCGGTTGTCCTAAAAATGCACGCATAATCAGACCAAAAAACTTTCCCATTTGCCAAC